TTTTGACCTTGGAACCCCGGGTCATATTATGACCCGGCCCCTATGGTGCTCTGTTTGAAAAATTGATGGTTCCTACCCCCCTGCCCCCTACCTGCCCCCCTAGAACCGTTTTGTTGATTTTTTGCTATTAACTTTACTGTTCCTTTAATTCATTATTGCTTCCTCTATCCCAAAATCATCTTCCCACTTACCACTTTTTGTTGTCCCGAAATCTTACTCCTTACCTCTTTGAAAAAATTTTCTAGTGAAATGATATTTGCACCCATCAACGGCCCAAGTGCCCAATATAAATTTCACTCATCTTATTAAATAGTCATTTCCTCGAATGAATAAATACTCTGGGATACCGTTAACCCAATTGCTGACCCACTCTTAAAATCTGTGTCATTTTCACATAGGAACATCATTTTGGGAAGGTGAGTGTTTTTATAAGTCCCATACTAAATTTATTTTTGCTTCTTATCTGATATCCACCTTGGATGCACTAAACTTATGCTTAAAATAGTAAAACAATGCAGGAAGAGCTAAAACTTCTATGTTCCTCCTTTCCATATCAATTGCCTTATAGTTTCCCATTCTTATCCACTTCGGCAAACATTATTTTGAGCTCCATTTTTGAACTTTCGAAAACTGAGCTATTTTGGTACAAGTATTGTGGAAAGCCAATTTTCTATCCGTACGTATACAGATACTCCCTCTGTCCCTCAATGAAGTTTTACACATTTCTATTTTGTCTATCACACAATGAAGTTTACACTATTCTTTTTTTTGTCGTGAAATGATCTGCACACTTCTTTCATTTCCTTTTTAGGAAAAGAATACTGTGGGACAGAGGGAGTATATTTTTTGAATCTATGTGTGCATCACAGACTGCCTTCCTGAAATCTTAATGCGACGTTTCTTTGTGTTTGATGCTTCTGTGAAGTAGTTTCCAGCTAATTTGTTAGTTTCTGACTCCACGGAGTAACTTTTGTCGTGGAACAAGGTACCCTTGTTTGCAGTTAAAGTAAATATTCTCCCTGTTCAAAAGGACTTCACCTGAAGCAAGAACTTGACTGTTTCTGTTTTCTACCAAAACTTCTTGCTTTCCTATCTTATAATTTATTGTAACAACTGATTATATCTCTCTCTCTTTCAAGTTCTTCTACTCTCTCTCTCTCTCTCTCTCTCTCTCTTTCTCTCTCTCTCTCTCTGAATTCCCTCCATTCTATATTTAGGCTCTTATTTTTCTTTGTATGCTAGCGCCATACACTTGGAATGTTTTAGGTTTGCTTTCTAGCTTTGATAACCTATTCATAGTGTATGCTAGGGAAAATATACTCTTGTGTTAGCGTGTAGGTTCAACGTGTCATATCCTTACATTGGTATTCAAAACAAGATGGGTAGACATATGCAAGATTCAAAACAACATC